AAAAAAATCCTGTGCATGGTTTAGACACTAGTGTTGTTTACATACATCAAACAGACGGACGGACGGACTTTTTGAATAAAAAAAAGAAGTCGGTATTAGGGAACGCCAAAACGTGTATTTCCGTTGAAATCTCGATATCGATTTTCCGCAACATTATATAACTTTCCATAAACTACGTAAATTACTTGGTATATATACGTATACGGGAAAGTAAAATGTGTTATCTGTAGTGCTAGAAAGGCGTGGTGTTAATAGCATTGGTATATTAGAAATGATCCAAAAAAAGTCTTGTATTTCTTCTTCAATGCATACAATGCTGAATTGGTAAAATTTTCTTGTCAGAACCAGAAGACTAGTAGTGTATATGACGTTAATGCTACATTTACTATAACCCTAGAGAACGTTAAAGTCGCAAAACAACTATAGTAGTATTTTTTACAGAAATATCTTTTCATATTTATATTATTCATATATCTCCATAATATGAACTCCCTACGACATTTTAAAAATATCTCAAAAATGACTCCAAAATTTTTGCTCGAATAGAGCAAAGTGCGCATATAAAGAGGCAATGTAGAGTTTCAATGTCGCATTTCGATATTCACAAAAAGTCAACCTTTTTTCGGCCTCTTCTACTACTACATTATTAGATATTTTTTTCGCTAATGCAATCATCTTCCTTTCAATATTAGATCTTTAAATCATTTCATGCACAGATTTTTTTACACGTAGTTGTATAAGTAGTTTTCTGTTAGCCTCTAACGCTTGAGTTTTTGCAATGATGTTCTGAAGTGTTAGTGACTCAGAAGTTGTTGTATACTACAGAACTTGTAACGATAATACGAGTTGTCACCAACACGCGCAGTGGCAGCACTACATGAGGGGAGGACTCGTCAGTTGGGCCCAAGGGCGTCGCTAGGCGGCTCAGGGACCCGCAGCCGAGGGCCTCCGGTGAGGACAACCTCTACCAATGTGTGTATGTACTTGGCGCGACAGCCCGTGAACGGGCTCAGGCCTACCGGCGACGTCCCTGCCTCGTGGCCTTGGGTTAAGAGGGTACGTAGACATCCCTACGCCGTATTCCGGTCTTGTCATCCTGAGAAGTGAATTTTTGCATCGTCACTCAGCAATATAGACTGGGACATTGCAAGGAAAACGCACACTATGTAGTTGTCCCGTCCGGGAAATGAACCCGGGGCCGTGTAGTGGAAAGCGAGCACGCTGACCAAAAGCAAGCTACGAGCCGCCGACCCCCAATACAGATGGCAATTTGGCAATGAGGGTCCCCGTAGTACTTTCTGCACAGGGGTCCTCGGTTTACTACTACAAAAATAAAAAAAAATTGTATACATTGTTTAAAGAGCTGATTTTTTACAAAGTTGTCTGAAGCAAAAATCTCTAAATTTTATTTTATAGTTTTGAAATGTTAAATTTTTTCTATTTTCGAAAAACGGGAAAGATGGCCGACCTTCTTTTTTACCGTCCGACCAACACCTTTTTTACCGTCCGTTGATACATAAGGGGAGAAGATTTAGAGGAAAAAATTGTAGTATTTTTTGCGGAAACAAAATATTTAAAAATAATTAAAAATCATCTGTGGTTTGGAGACAACCAGCCAGTGTTAGAGGATTTTTTTCTATACTCAGAAACTGGATGTATTCCTTACCAGAGACCAGCAATCAGAGTTTTTGTGTCGTACATTCGACATTTCTATCCCGCAACATTACAGAACTTTCTCTGTACAGTGCAAACAACGAGAAAGTAAAACAACACAAAAGTTTCAGATATACGTAAATTAATCTTTTTTTGTCCAGTGCACTAAGAGTGAAAATTAACATACTCAAATTTTGTTCGATAAGTATAATGTATCATTCAGAAGATTTGATTAATTATTTAGTGTTCCCTCACGTCATCTATGTCGGCCATTAGTTCCATAAGTATAGTGCATGTTTTGTCCCGGGAGGTGGCGATGTTTTTCCCGCTGGTACGTGAGGTTTGGTGCACTTCAGCTTGGGAGTTTTCCACTTCCAGGTACCTCCACCAGAGGGACACCGCCCCAGCCAGGACAAGCTCTAAGCTCTCGACTGATCTCTAAACATGATAGTATAGTGCGTGTAAGTGTGTGTGTGTGTGTGTGTGTGTGTAATTAGGGAGGACAAGGATTAAGAAAGCAAGATCGCGAACGGTTTGTGGCTAAGTTGTTGAGGTACTGCTCCAACAGTATCCTTGATACTGAACAATTAGTTTACGGCAAAATATATGTCTTTCTGACTGACTCTCTCAAGAACATTTTTTCCCCAAAATATGATTGGTAGTCGCCTAAATGTGCGTGAAATAAAGGAAATTTTAAAATACAATTTTTTCAAAAAATGTTCAAGTTTTTTTCTTTAATTTCGATCAGATAGTGCAAAGTACGTTTAAAAAACGACGCAAGTCCAATTTGCGTTGAACTTTCTGTCGGCCTGACTGCCTGCCAGTCTGTCTAAGGCTACGGTCACAATGCAGCCGAAACATTGGCCGCGCGCGACCCGACGACTGCGCAGCGAAATCGACCGACTTTCGGCCACAAGTCATTTCCACTGGGATCGACGCCTAACAGTCTATGCGTCCGTGATCATCACTAGAAGCTATACCGGAAATATGATTTTCACAAAAATTGATATTCTCCAGTCTCTCATCTTGCTGACGTTGAGCCTATAAATTTGAAAAGGATATTTCAGTTTTGGGGGTAATTTCTATGAAACATTATGGACAAACATTTTTTCCCAAAAATATTTCCAAAGTTTTTGAATTAATTTTTTTATCGGATAGAATAAAGAACTTAAAACTTGTGCACGTCGGATTTTTGTAGATTTATTTGGCAAATAATTTAATTTTTTCATATATAATAAAAATATATATATTTCTTCTGTAGATTAAATTAATGCTAATTTAACGACTTCTGACGGTAGTATATAATTGGCTATCCGGGTGACGCCGCGTCTATGGCAAAGGTGCCGACGTTTCGGTCGCCATTGTGCAGCCTTCCTCAGGGCATTACTGACTCCGACCGCGGAAGCCTACGCTCTCTCTTCTGACGGTAGGTTTTTCCCCCTTCAGGAATTTTTTCGTCAACCGTACCTTATGGTCTCTCTTCCGCGACTTTGATGCTATGGAGAGACCATTTGGGGTGAATATCAGAATTCAAAAGGTTAGAACGCGGTAGGATGTAAGTATTGTAATAGTTGAAAGGTTTTCAGCATAATCAAATATTTATCAAGTAATGCAATTATTCATAATAATTACCTCTTAACTAAATAAAAAATAATTTTCTTCTGAATGAAATCTGTTCCTCAAAATTAGATTTTGAAATGAGGTCAAGTACATTTTTTTTCAAAATATGATTGGTAGTCGCATAATTGTGCGTGAAATAAAGGAAATTTTAAAATACAATTTTTTCCAAAAATGCTCAAGTTATTTTCTTTAATTTTTATCAGATAGTGCCAAGTACGCTTAAAAAATGGCGCAAGTCCAATTTGCGTTGAACTCTCTGAGTTTATGAAAATTACAAAAATGCGGGACAGCATGTGCAGTTGTAGTAGCACCACCAGAATTCCGTTTATTGTATCCCTCTTAAATTTGGCTAGCTCTCATGAACATTCCCCTCGCATTCTTTCTCGCTTTTTCTCCTTACAACAGCCCCCCCCCCACTACCACCATCTGTGTTCCTCATTATGCGAACAATGAAGGAGGTAATATCGGGGTCAGAGTTTTACAACCGATGGAAGGTCGTCAAGAGAAGCTTGCCTGTGGGGGCGTAGCTGTACTGATTTTTTTTTTCTCGAAAGCTTCCTTCCTGTGCCTTAACATAGCGGTTAGTACTCCTAGTGGGTTGCTGTTTCTATCTATCCACAAGCCGTCAATATTTGATAACGTAGTCTACCCACATGTGTTTTTAATGTTTCTCTTAATTCAATTCTATTATATTATTTCTATTTACTTTATTTGACCTTACATCTGCTTCAATGTATTTAATTTATACTTACGTGGAATAGTTCACCACGTGAGCTTTACAAGTGGTTCCCCTCTTGCAGGATGTCTTGCCCTTTATAGAACACACTAGGCTCATTCATTCATTCATTTATTCATATTTAACTTAAATACAACCTAATTTCATTAACACGGTATTTAATACATGTCTTCTTACTACGCTTCATTTACTTATTTTCTTCAAAATTTAACATAGTATTTCAATTTTTAATTTTACGTTTTTGCCAATTGTAGTACTGAACGTGCCCGCAAAGTGGTCGAAAAAACTTTCTGTAAAATAATACGATAAGATATCTCTAATACGTAACTCTCGTCGAAGACAGATCTTTGGCCTGAAGTTGGATTAGTTTACTTGGTGCTCACTGTAGCGCATTTTGTTTTATTTATTTGTGCTGTTAGAAAGAGGAGTTTCTATTTGAAGAAAAATCTTTCATTAATAAAACACCGTTATGCGATGTGTGCAATGGTTTGCTTTCAAAGAAACAGATCTGTGGATCGTTGGGCAGAGGTTTCTGAAGCACAGATGAAAATGTCACTGCTTCTGCACACACTGGGAAGAGGACTATCTTCCGCGCAGAAGCGACAATATTGTTTCAAGATGAGAGCGGAATGCTACGAAATGTCAACGTATTCTACAAAAAAACTGTTAAGGTTTATGACAAAATTAAAACGGAACTCTTAATAAACAGTTATTGACAGAAACAAACAAGAAATTTGGAATTGCTCTAAATAGACTTTGAGGAAGTACCGTGTTTCTGTTTTTCTAAAAAAAGAACCGACAACAACAGAAAAAAGAAGCTGATGCATTACGTAGACACAAAGGTTCTATTTGCTGAAGTATATTTCGCTTCTAATAACAGTTCTCGGTACAGAATTTACGTTTTTACGAGAACATTCGACGAAGGAATTCTCTTGTTCTGGTTTTCATAAGATTAAATAAGCTTGTAGGAAGTTGCATTCGAATGCATTACAGTTTTCCAGCGTCTCCCGTGGAGGGTTTGGTGGCGGTGAGGCCATGAGTGTGATCCCAGTCCGTGTTTCGCAGAGCGTGTCGCTGCTGGAAAGCTGTGAGTATTGTTCCGAGCGGAGCCACAAAAGCGATAAGCATTTCCGCATTTTGTTCTGCTTCGCGTGACAACAATTCCATTCCGAATTATATCATCCGTGAACTGAATGTGAAAACGTCAGTTACCACCACGTATGTCGTCTTTCTGAGTGAATACTAATGCGACTTGAAATTTATTTTGTTCAATTCTGCAATTCTGCGTTCAATTGTGGTTCGCGGAGATTTTGAAACAGAAAAATGTAAAGTCGCACTGGTCTTATACATATAAATTTTTACGCATATAATAATTACAATTTCTCAGCAGCCTTTGGTTGAACGAAAAAAGTTTAAGTACTATTTTTTCGGCCGAGTACTTAGAAGCCAATAGGAGTCTATTTCAGCGTCGTGCTAGATTTGTATTCAGTATTTCTCCAAGTAATAAATCCACATGAAATAAGGTGATATATAATTTCTTTTGACTTCCGAAGTAAAAAAGGAGTACAAATCCAATGAGGCAGGAGGAGGGGGAGTGCAGCTGGTCATGGCACTAGGCCTCATGAATCTCAAGGAGGCCATGAAATGCCAGAGGGCCAATGAATCCTAACACGTGCCATCATTTTAATCCAATTTGAATATTTATTTTATTCATTTAATGTTTATACACCGTAACTTTTTTCAGTTTTTTAGTTAATATAGTTTCAAAGAAAAATTTTTGCGCGTTTCACATTGTGTATTATGTTACCTTCTGGGATTCCGCGAATTCGGGAAAACGGGCTAGACGTTGTGAAAAGTTGAGCACCGAAGGATATCTAAAGACATCAATACAACAGATTGCAAGAATAATATACACGTATACATGTTTGTAGAATGTTTAATTAGGGCTCACACACTACCGTCTTTATACCGGAGCCCGGATTTTCTCTCGACGACCCGGAAGTCAATATAACACAAGCTAGTAGTGCTACAACAACACAACCTTTCTGGAATTTTGCAATTTTCGAAAGGTCAGAGGATTCAACGAAAATGTGACTTTCCAGATTTTTATAAGCGTGATTTGTTCTATTCCAGAAAAATAAATAAAGAAATTAGAACAGTTTATAAGAAATTACAATTTTAAAATTTCCTTACGTTATGTAGACTTAGGCGAATACTACTCATATTTTCGAAAAATTGTACAAGAAATGTTTTAAAGATCTGACTCTGAAGAACATATTTCACACAGAAGAAACTACCTTCAATATTAGAGTTGTAGGAAGACGTCGAAAAAAAATTGAACTTTTGCAACCTTCGAAAATTTAGAGATTTTAAGGAAAATCTATTTTTATAAGTCTATTTTGCCTTTTTTGTTAATGAAAAATAATCAATTTGAAGTCATTTTTAAGAAAAAATTGTAAATGCCCTTGAGACGTCATGTAAAGTATACACAACAGTTGAAATATCGGTTTCAAAATAAAAGGGCCGCGCCGTGACATCTGCCTGATCAATTGGGGAAAATCAATTTTGGTGAACATTCTATTTACGGCAAATTATCATGGTTACTTAATCGAAGATCTAAGCTCTCCTCATATTACAAAATATTACTTTACAAAGCAATAACCAAGCCAATATGGGCTTACGGCATAGAACTATGAGGTACAGCCAGCAAGTCGAACCTGAGGCCTCTGAGAAGATTCTACGCAAAAACATTGAGATATTTATGAGTCGCGCAGTATTTAACCAACAATTATTTTTTCACAGATTTCAACATCTCAACTGCGGCAGAGACTATCGCGAGAGATCTAAGAGGCAACAGACGAGACTGAGCTACCATACGAACCTACTTTCAGTGAACTTATTGGACAACAGTGAACACGTGTATGGACTAAAGGGTGAGCATATTCTAGATTCACCTTTTAGATTCTCTTAATTGTTATTTGTATTTTGTATACCATTTACTAATTGTTCCAAGTGAACAGATTGTATATTATCAGAATATCATATATATATATATATATATATATATATATAAACTATTTACGGTTTACTTACTAGAATGGTTCACATTCGGATGGACAGGTGGACAGACGTTTTGGTGGAAAGGAATTTTTTGTAATCAAGGACCAATAAAGCGTGGATTCCAACTACACAATTGTTTTAAGGGAACCTAGAAGGCACAAAATTAAAATATATCGCTTTCACTTTTTATGAGTTATTTTTTATTTTATTTATTTAAGGTCGCTTTTCAACAACTAGGTCATAAGCGACCACGAGAATCAATTTATAATTTACACAATAATATACATTTTTTACAGTTATGCCATTATACAATTACATACAATTCATACAAGCATATAAATGGTAAAAAAATATTAATATTGTTGGTACTTACATAATTGGGATGGATACACATATTTATTTATTTACATTACACAAGTTTTGATATTAACAACATGTTTGAAGGATTATTGTATACGAGATATAGGTAAAGGAGGGTCTTTATATTAAGGTATCAATTTTTGATATTTTTAAAAGTTGTAAGACTTTTATACATTCTTCTGGAGAGGAGAAGGGATTATATAGAGAGTCTTTTAAACTTAAGGACTGTCTGTCATGAGCTAGTTCAGGGCACTCCAGAATAATATGGGATGTAGATACTAGGGATCCACATTTAGGACAGGATACTGGGTCAGCTTTTGTTATTAGGTGAATGTGTGAGAGATTAAAGTGGCCAATACGTAGTCTGGTAATTTGGACTTGTTGGAATCTAGTGAGGTGGAGTTTCGGGAGGACGGGTTCAATGACGAATTTCCTTACGAGGTGAAGTTTGGAGAAGGTAGTCAACTATTTTTCATTCCACTGTTTCTTAACCATATTTATAATATATAGTTTAATATCGGAGAGAACTCCCTTCCCACTCTTGTCCGTTGTTGGTAATGCAGTTGCTTCTTTAGCCGCTTTATCTACATTTTCATTCCCTTCGATACCTATATGTGCTGGAATCCAAACAATAGAGATGAAGGTTCCGTTGTTTTCTTGTATAAATAACTGTTCTTGGATTCTTTGAATTATCGGATTTTTAGAAAACCTTTTGACTATTGCATTCAAGGTAGCTATAGAGTCTGAAAACTATTAATCTTCAATATTTTCCTTTTTTCAATGATGTATTCATTTTATGTATACCCATATATTCATTTTATTGTATTTTTTAAAATTAAATAATAAGCGGCGCGTCGAACTTGCTATGCATAATTTCCAATGTGAAATTATCTCAAACTTTTTTTACTTTACAATGAGAGAAATAAGAAAACTATGGGAGGAAATTCGGGAGGAATGAGAAGCAAGCCAGACACACCATGACATCAGTGAAAAAGAAATTAAAAGAGAAAAAGTTGAGTGGCTTTGAAAATGCATCATATAAACCTGAAATGTACAAGAAATCCATGGCAGACTTTAAAGCCTGATGCCCACAAGTTTGTTTTTGGCATATAAGGAATATTATTTCCTAAGCTGTCAGAGTTAGAAACTTCAAACTTACAGTATTAGTTTTCACGTGAAATATTGAAGAACAAAATATAATTTACATGTTTTTATATTTACGAGAGTATTTTGACTTTTACAGTGAGCTTCAGTTTTTAGTAATCATTGACATTAAATTACTTTTTACAATTAATTACTTTTCAATTAAATTTTTTTCTTTAAAATTAATTGATATTGAAATATTTTGTTTTTCAAAATCATGGCAACTAAGTTGTTCCAAAACTTGACTTCCCAATGTATAGTTCTCAAAATTATCTTTTTCAGTTTTATAATAAGAAATATTCTCAACAAAGTATCCTATAGAACTTCCCCCTGTCTTTTATAATTATTGAAATGAAAGAAGAAATTATTAATTTAACATACAAAATGAGAAAATATTCTTGATTGGTGTGATAGGCAGGTTTTAGAACTGCAGGATACATATCCCGTTGGGTCGTTGCCAGCACATAGTTAAGGAAAATCAAGTACCTGAGGCTTTGAGACTTCATGGTTTGCATTCTGTGACACTGACAAGGATATAGAAAGAAATTCAATACTATGAAATTTCATTCCATACTTTTTAATTTAACCCCACTGGCCCCTTCAGCACGAACGACGTGAGTACCGCAGTGAAACTTAGTAAACCGGGAGGGCGTTTTCTAACCTGCATTGCAACAAGTATCGAGGCTTCCTTCCATCCGCACCCCGCGGGGTTCATTTCAATCACAGAGAATCGCTTGCTGAAACAACTTGTTAAGTAAACAAGTAACACACTTCGGTTGTGTCTTTGCATTCGTATTCTTCATTGCTTCTCGGATTGGCATCAATGTACTTGAAAGCGAGATTCAGATTGTTAGGCGTTCGATATTGGGAACCAAGTTACGCGTTGCCCAGCTCAGGACAACCAGCTCTGATGTTTGTTTAATGAATAGCTACCTACACTTAACACAAGGGGGCCGGGACACGTCCCTACTTAAGTTCTCCTGAGTGGAAGGTCACTGCAACGGCGAGACCTTCCAAATGAGGGGTGGGGGTGGAAGGAGAAATTCATGGAGCATGGGGGATTTCGCCCACCTCCCCACATGCCCTTTGGCACGCAGGACAGGGATACTGCCGAGAAAGCGGGGTGGGAAATTCTAATCATTCAGAAAAGAACGATTCGTGATCGATGTTCCAGCCGAAGTGTGTGTGTGTGTGTGTGTGTGTGTGTGTGTGTGTGTGGGGCTTCTAAACGTATGTGATTGTCGACTGTGATTGCGTAGGCTTCCGCGGCCGGAGTTTGTATTGTCTAGGATACGCGGGGCCGCGTCCCTGTCGTGTTGGACAATGTTTTGGCCATCATATTGTGGCCTTCCTCTGTACGGTAGTTCGCTCTGAGGACCACCATTTGTTGCCGAAACGTCAGCCACCGCGACAGCGTCGTGGTTCGTCCCGGGTACCTTTGACAATATTATTCTCAGCTACGCACGGCTACTCGCTATACTTTCTTCAAGAGCAACGCCCAAGAAACTAAGCAGAGCAAGGAACAGTGATAACGTTGATGCTCTTGAAAGGTAGCAATTAAACTAATTTATATTCTTTTTAGTATAAAAGTAAAAGTGATCAGC